CACGGTGTTCGCGGAGATGGCGAGGCCGATGGCGGCGACGCAGATGGTGAAGCCGATGTCGGCGGTGGCGACGGCGAGATCCGACGAAGGCGCTAGCGAGGGAGAGGCGGTCGATGGCGGCGGCGAGGGCGAGGCGGACGGCGGCGGCGGCGACGGTGAGGCCGATGTCGGCGGTGGCGACGATGAGGCCGACGTAGACGGTGGCGAAGGTGAGGCCGAAGGAGGCGGCGCCGAAGGCGAGGTGGACGACGGCGGCGTCGACGGTGGCGGTGACGACGGCGAGGCGGACGGTGGCGGCGGCGAGGGCGAGGCGGACGGCGGCGGCGGAGACGGTGAGGCAGATGGAGGAGGTGGCGACGGTGAGGCGGAGGGAGGCGGTGGCGAGGGCGAGGCGGAAGGAGACGGCGGCGAGGGCGAGGCGGACGGCGGCGGCGTTGACGGTGGCGGCGGCGAGGGCGAGGCGTACGGCGGCGGCGGCGAGGGCGAGGCGGACGGCGGCGGCGGAGACGGTGAGGCAGATGGAGGAGGTGGCGACGGTGAGGCGGAGGGAGGCGGTGGCGAGGGCGAGGCGGAAGGAGGCGGCGGCGAGGGCGAGGCGGACGGCGGCGGCGTTGACGGTGGCGGCGGCGAGGGCGAGGCGGACGGCGGCGGCGGAGACGGTGAGGCGGATGGAGGAGGTGGCGACGGTGAGGCGGAGGGAGGCGGTGGCGAGGGCGAGGCGGAAGGAGGCGGTGGCGAGGGCGAGGCGGACGGCGGCGGCGGAGACGGTGAGGCAGATGGAGGAGGTGGCGACGGCGGCAACGGCGAGGGCGAGGCGGACGGCGGCGGCGGCGAGGGCGAGGCGGACGGCGGCGGCGGAGACGGTGGCGGCGGCGAGGGCGAGGCGGACGGCGGCGGCGGCGAGGGCGAGGCGGACGGCGGCGGCGGAGACGGTGAGGCACTTGGAGGAGGTGGCGACGGTGAGGCGGAGGGAGCCGGTGGCGAGGGCGAGGGAATATGATGAGGGTCGCGATGGCAAAGGT